TCGCTTGAATACTAGGTCCCCGTCTATTCGCAGGTCAGGCAATACTTCTTTGTTCCTGCAGATTTCTTCTTTCAGCTCCTGGTATTCCGTTGACTTGAATTCCGTCGTCTGGAATCCGAGGATTTCCGTTGGGTCTAGAATCACCTCCTCGATGCAGCGTGATAGTGTATCCGCCACTATATTTTCGACTCCCTTGCGGTGTTCGATCTCAAAATCGAACCTCTGCAGCCGCAATGACCATCTCGCTAGACGCCCATTCAGGTCCTTGAGTGACATTAGCCACTTGAGGCTGGCGTGATCAGTAATTACCGTGAACGGCATCAATTCCACATATGGCCTGAATCTCTCTATCGCCAATACCGCAGCTAAACATTCTTTCTCCGTTACAGAATAATTTATTTGGTGTTTGTTCAGCTTGGAAGAAAAGAATGCCACTGGACGCTCTGCTTTGTCGTCATCCAGCTGGAAAAGCACTGCTCCCACTCCAAAATTTGAGGCGTCGCACTGGATGTAAAAATGGCGTTTGAAGTCGGCATGGACTAATACAGGAGCCGTGGTGAGGGCCTTTTTCAGGGATTCTATGGCCGCCCTCGCTTCCGTTGGCAAGGAAAACTTCCCGCGCGCATGCTTCTTCAGAGCATCTGTTAACGGTACAGCGATGGTTGCGAAGTCCTTGATGAAGCGCCTATACCATCCTGCGGTTCCTATGAAGCTCCGTAGCTCCTTCACTGAACTCGGGTTCGGGATCTTTTGTATAGCCACAACCCTATCGGGATCCATTTGCAGCGTGCCACCTCCGATGATAAACCCTAGGTATTTTAGCGACTTAAAACAGAATTTGGATTTTTTTAAGCCTATCGTCAAATTCGCTCTTTTCAGGCACTGGGCCACCAATCGCAGATACCGCAGATGCGTCTGGAAATCCGGGGCTATCACCAAAAGATCGTCCAAATAAACGAAAACGTTTGATCGGAGCTGAGTTGGAATTACCTTATCCATCACTCTGCATAACCTCTGGGCAGCGTTACACAGACCGAAGGGCATCATCACGAATTGATACAGCGGACGGCCTGCGACGGTAAATGCGGTGCACTTCCGGCTTTCTGGGTCCAGTTTAATCTGCCAGAATGCGAATTTGAGGTCGACGCTAGAAATGTAGTATGTCTGGTCAATCCTGGATAGTATACCCTCGATACTAGGAAGAGGGTAAGCATCTTTTACGGTGAGTTGGTTCAGTTTCCGCGCGTCCAAACAGAATCTATTTTTGTTTGGCTTTCGCACCACCGTCGTCCGATTGCTCCATGGACTATCGCTAACTTCGATCACTCCTAGCTCCAGCATTTTATCCACCTCGGTCCAGATCACCTCCTGCATCGCTGGGGATTGAGGGTAATGCCGATCTTTAAATGGTTCTGCGCCCTCGATCAACTGGATCCGATGCTGCTCTACCGTCGTTGTTCCCAATCCGGCATCCTCATAGGTCAGAAACTCCTTCTTTACCTTCTCCAGCTCTTCGGTTTCCGTGTCTTCCAGGGCCCAAGCTTCCACTTCCACGTCCTCCGGGCGATGTTCGGCGTACTGGCTGATTTGTGACATTTGGATCTCGCCTACTTGGACCTCGCTGGATCTACTGGACTCTTCTCCGAGGACTGTGGGAGCCAGCGCGAAGGATCTCCAGAAATCAATGCCCAAGTACATGGCTTGCTCTAGGTACGGGCATACGTAAAACACGATCTCTTTGTTCATTCCGTTATATCTTACGCAGAGTTTGGTTTTGCCGATTATGGACCTGTCTTCTCCAGAGGCTGTCTTGATGATCGAGACATAATTGTCCATTTCCACCTCAAGGTCGGCAAGGAGTTCACGGCTGCCCTTTCCTAAGACACTAACGGATGCCCCAGTATCTAGGAGTCCAGCAATCCGATGTCCTCTTATCTGCACTTCGGCAAACACTCTGGGATCGCGTCCTGCTCCTCGTCTGACTGCCTCGGCCACCTCTTTGCGAGTCTGTCGCCTTTCCTTAAATCTGGAACGGGCCTTTTGGAGTCTACGACTGACACCGCGCATCCCCTCCAGCTGCCTGTCATCAAAGATCTGGTTTCGAATTTGTATGTATCTCCTCATCCTTTCTTCGGCCGGTACAAACTTCAAACTATTTTTATTTAATTTATTCGGGCTATTATTCTTAAATTCTATATTAATTAGTGGACCATCGTTCATTTCTTCGCGGGCTTCTGTCCCGAGCGCTGATCTCCCGCTTTCATCATGCCCGCTCGTGCGTTTCCCGAGCAATTGGGACACGTTGGAGTAAACATTTCTGGTTTCCCGCAGCGGTAACAGAATATTTTGCGTTCCTTCGCCACGCAGTCTCGGAATCCGTGGTCGAACTGGCCGCAATTCCAGCAACACAGCCTGGGTTTGTTCGCCAGGTGAGTTTCTTCCACCATCCTTGCTTCGTCTTCATCCAGAAACTCCGTTTCCGGCTCTAGCTCCTCCACTCGCTTCCCGGCTGATTGGAATTTCGGCACAGGACGGAACGTCGACTTCTGCTCGCGTCCGCGAAAGTGGTACTCCACTTCCAGGCACTCTTCCCTCAGCTGCTCCACGTTCCGGACTCGGATCGCGTAAACGTAGCGGGCGATCTCATCATCGAGCCCCTTCTTCAAGACTCGCACCATTTCGGACTCAACCAAAGGTGTGGTGAGTCTAGCTGCCAGTCTGCGCATCGCTCTAAAATACTCTTCCACAGATTCGCCAGATTGTTGTCTTCGCTCATGCAAGGTGCGTAGCCGCTCGAACTCGCCACCCACTGCTCGGAACCGGGACACCAACTCGTCCTTCAAATCCTCCCATCCTTCCGGAGGCCGTTCTCGGACAAATTGCCAATACCACTCCGCCGCTTGTCCTTTGACGAGATGGTGAAAGTTGTCAAGGACCTCGTCCCACGACCGTCGGTTCTGCCTACGGAGGAACTCGACCCTGAACACGAAGTCCTGCACCGTCATCTTATTTGGATCTCCATCTCCGTCGAAGTGGATTTCCCATTTGTCGACGCGCCCCCATCTCGCTCCTCTCCAATCATCTCTCCTTTCATATGGTGGCAGATCTGTTGGACCTCCGCCGTCTCCTGATGTCTCCCGTCTCTGCCTTCCAGCACCTGGATCCTGGTCCGCATCGGCTATTCCTCGGCGCCAGTTCTGGCTCAACCTCGCCGGCTTCCTTGGAGGCGACTGTGAATTCCATGCGTCATCGTCCTTGGGTCTTTTGGGCATGGTCCCTGTGTTCGGCTTCTGCCTGAGGTGAGCTAGAGGCTGCTGATCGCCATTATTATTATCGTTGTTTTCACCCTGGTCTCTTTCCAATCTCAGATCTTGGATCAATTCCACGTTCTGGCGCAGAGGCGCCATCACCTCTGTTATGGCCCCCATCAGCTCCATAAAGCCGCGACGGATCTCCTCCTGCAACGTCCTACTCAGGGTATCTGCCATGCTGCCTCTCCACGTCTCCTGTGCTTGCGCTATGGCGACATTTACTCCTGAGAGAATCTCGGAGGGCAGTGCGTTCGATTGGCCTGGCAAATTCCAGCTGTCGTCTTCACGCCCCTCAGCGCCCTGTGTGTCCCCGCCTTGCATCTGTCCTTGGAGGTTACCTGGTGGAGGAGTCCTGCGAGTCATTTTCAGCTTAGACCGCAAGTTGTACGCGCTCATCAACCTAGCCCTGTATTTCCCTACCTCGAACTATCCTAATTATCTTTTTATTCAATACAATTAATTATCTACTCTTCTTTCAGAACAATCGCATAAACATTACCTATAACGCCAACTCACTGATCTTCAGCACAAAAACGTTTAATACGGCAAAAACACTAATAAGGGGTAAAGGAACCACAACTACTACTAGGGCCAACTCTGCACATGGTGTTCTACGTCTTTTCCTGTCCAACGTCTAGAATTTGGCGAGCGCTGTTGACTGATCTTATCTTCCTTGAAAGATTAAGAGTCAAGGGCGCTCACTTCCCTACAGTCGCTGTTTCCGCCTACTTCCCTACTGAATGTTCGTTGCGGGATGTTGTAGCTGCTCCGAGTGCAACGCGTGGCCGACATCTGTCCCCACGGGCCACTCAGAACAAAAAATCTCCTTGAGAATCTACTCTCCCGACTCCATCCAGCGGTAAGCAGGGGAAGCGAAAAACAGAAATCTTTCTGACCATTCCTAACTTCGGGTATTTCTTTTTCTTCAGGTTCTCCTTTTGCACACCAGGCACCGGGCCGGTTGCTAACTGGCTTTTGGATTCTCCTCTGCCAGTGCCAAACCAAATCCCCTCTTGAGATTGCCTGCTCCCCGTTGTCAGATAAGTGCCGAAACATCAAACATCAAAAAAAACTATTTACTTTGTGGATTTTTTTCTTGCATCCTCAGGTCCCCCCGCGCCGTGCTTCTGTGAGCCAACTCGTCGAGTCCCTCACAGGCCACCGGAACACCGATGGACCCCGGATTGCAGAATACCACTCGAGATCTATCTTCTCTGCTGGATATTTATAATTTCTTCGACTTCCGTATGATTCGCATCCGTACTCTCCCTCTTTGATGGTCGAGCCAGGACTGCGAGTCCACTTCCCTGTCTCAGATTGGGCGCCATTATTGTTACGAACCTTTGTTTTTCTTTGGGGCAAGGCCGGCTAGCCAGTCATCCCAGGGCTGGATACTTCCCAAGCCCTCAGGTCGCACAACAACCAACTGATTGGACATCTCGAACAAAATGAAACAACAAAAATAACCGACAAAAAAAAACTGAAAAAAAACGGACTCTACTCGACAAACAACATTACAGTCTTCCCTCAACACAGACTTGGACCAGGTCGAGGTGTCGATGTTTTACCCCCGACGCACCCACCCTACCTGAGATCTGAATCACACGTTCCGGATCTCCCTGCCATTGGCAAAAGCCTTACCCTCTCGTTGCTGTGGCTCCTCTTCCCCCCATACGAAACGCTTAACAATTCATTTCTTCGTTATAATTTTCACTTCATTCCCTATTTTCACACGATATCATTTCTAAACTAGGCCTGCCTATTCATCCCCCCCTCATCTTAGTACTACTGGCGGTTAATAAATAATTAGATTAATAGGAATAAATAATATAATAAATATAAATAAATAGGTTACATATATATAATAAATATGGACGGACTTAAATTACATATACTTATAACTAGAGACGTCTAACAAAAATAATTAATGGGAGTAAATAAGTTGATGTGCTTTTTTTCTTCTCCCTAAGTGGGCGAGGGTCCCGCACTACGTGGCCAGGTCTGATCCTTCGAGACCAGCAGGAAAAACAAGCCAGGGTGGCGGAGCTGTGACCTATTCCTCTTATGCTTCCTGGTCCTGGTTCCTGGTCTTTCCCTGATCTGGATCCCCTGGAATCACATTTATTTATCTTTTATTCATTTTTTTGCAGGGTGATGGCCACTACTCCATCCTCATCCCACTCACTTTTTCTTTCAGAACACAAAAAAATCGCTAAGTCACTGTGCCCGGCGCGCATGCTCCTCCGTTGCGGGAATTTTTCTTTCTGACCCCCCTCTTGGATGTTCTGTTTAATGCTCCCGGCTGCCGATCCCCATCGCTCTCTCTTCTATCGCCCTTGAACTAGGTTCAAGGGCATGGCCTGATTCGGGCTGCTGGCGGCTCTCTTTTCTTTTGGGTGTGGGTGAGTTGCTTCGGGACTCCGTTATGGGATGAGATCGGAAATCCTCTCACAACGGCTCCGGAGAGCGCGCGGAACTCTAACTCTCCAGGACCAGGTGGCCACTCTTCGCTAACCTTTCCCCTTAAATTTTGGCCCTGCCACTCTGTTCAAAAAAATACCTTCCTCTCAGCGCTTCTAGGGTCTCGCCTATCGATATCTTCGCATGCAACACCTAGCGAAAATTCGAGCGACCATGGCCGCGGAGAATTATTCGCAAACATCGAAGAGCTACACCTTCACCAAAAATGCTGGCATTCTCGGACATTACAGTGCCTAGGAGGATCTTGCAGCGCCCAACGTAGGCTTACACCCACGTATCTGATAATCCTTAAGTGAGTGTTTTTAACTCTGAAGTCCCCAGTCTGCAATTTTCGCTACAATTTTAGGTCTTTGGCGTGAAAAATCCCCACCGGCCTTGCCCCAAAGAAAAACAAAGGTTCGTAACATCTGTTTGGCTTACCCTTACCCCATGCAAATGTTTATCGCTCGTCTGCTTTAATGCACGAGTGTATCGAATTTGTTGTTGCCTTCTCGATAGGGCCAAGGTCGTTCATCTATGCATTTCTGTTTGCCTGGCCGAAATATCGGTAGTTTTCTTGGCCTCGTGACTCCCACATCGAGTTTTGGTAAGAATCGGTATCGGTGACGTGAAGTGAAATGAACGATGATTCATGCAAGAGCTGTTTTGACTTATTTATTGTCTACCTAAACTTAAACAATCCTCCATCAACAATATTATCAAGCACACCAAGCATAATGTAAATTTAGCTTCAAAAATATTTTCTTTTTTATTAATTTCGCTAAGTAAATTTCGATAATGGCAGGCCGATAATAAGTGGCATTCAAAATCGAGGTGATTACAGAATTTAAAATGTAATAGTCCCCACCATCCATTCCGAAACTTATCAAAACATGTTACTCCCAGGTTCCATCCAGCAATATATAACATATCTTCTAGATATTTACCATAGAAATAAGTAAGCAACAGTCATACTCTACTTTCCACCATCTGTCAAATGCACATTTCATTGTTTTCACCAAATATTTAAAAATCGCACCGATAAGAATTACAGACGAACATCGTGGTGATTAAAGATATTTAAATATATGTACTTTGTACAAGAATACCCACATATCATAGAGCAATTAACTACTTAAATTCTTAGTACCGACGTTTATGCACTGCATTTCTCAAATGGACACCATTTGCATAAAGTCATTTAGGTTTGACAATAACCACAACCGTCCGAAGGTCTTCTTTCAAAACTGATTGAGAAGAAACTCGTAATTGAATGCTAGATAATCCACAACCTGCTTCCAAATAAAACACTAAAATGTATTTGCTAATTTCTTTATTTCCACATATCTTGTAATAAGTATTTTGTATAATTTATGCTCAGCTCTCCGTTTATCCCTTGCACATTGGGTTGCATTTCTCATATGTCCACAGCTGCCACATGCAAAGTTATTGCAACTTGCCGGCAATTTATCGTAAAACTTACATTAATTATCCTTCAAATCTTAAATTCAATTGCTTTACTCTTACATTCGGTGTGTTTTGGTTTTGGGGAAATAGAAAACTATTTGCTTTTCGTGACGCCACCACCACCACCTACTCCAATCTCTCTGGCGGCGGCTATCATCCATGGTCGCTACCCGCAATTGAAATGTCTTTATGTCATATGTATGTATGTTTTAATATAGTATCCATATTGGCTATCAATATTTTGGCTGGTTGGATGAACGATCAATCGATGTATGTACGTAGTTTTATGGTATTTGAGTAGCTTAATATATGATCTCTGATGAACTGAAAGTTGCATTTTTTGTTCGTTATTGGTTCAGTGATTTCTTTTGTTTTGCATAAATAGACTTTGTATTTTTTAGTTCGTTCGCAAAAAGGGACGGTAAAAATTACAATAAAATCATTATTTTGAAATATGGATGCATTTTCTGTTTGTTTCTGGCTCGATATCTCTACTAACTTTCATATGTATATAAATATATTTACAATTGGTTAGAGTTTGGTTTTTTTGTTTCATAAATAATTTGTTCATAGGCAACTCTTGGGAGTTTTTATCTGTGAATGCATGAATGGACGTTGTGTGTGTGTATCTGAGTGTGTGTGTGTGTGTGTGTGAGTGTATTTAGTGTCGTTTGTGTACTTTAAATATAAATTCAATTTAATGGCTCGGTAATTTACACAATATACGATCTTGTATATATAAATTTCATGTAGAATCTCCACCTCTTCCGATTGACAACGAAAACGAAAAATCGTGAACCCAAAAAGAAGCAACAAATTTGTAAGTTTCCATCTCTTGTAGGGTAGAGGGGACGGGGACTGCTACTAGATAATGTGCTCTGGTTGCTGGACACTACTTTCGTGTTTAATTAGCTACGATAATAATATTTATTTAAACTTTAACGCTTTGTCTTGCTATTTTGTATGTTGGTTAAGCTGCTTGGTAATCACCATAGTTATTTATTTTGTGTGTGTTAAACCATATATCATATTAAGGCCATTAGAGCTTGTTGCTGCTGAAAGAATACATATATGACAAAAGGTTCGTCTAATGGTCTCATTGGGGGACGTGGCACAAGGAATTGTACATTTTCGTACAGCAACAAACACAAAAACTCATTCGAAATGAAAACAAATTCTTAACTACTTGCTTGATAGTTTTATGTGTTTTTGATATTTTTTAATTGAATTAAATAATAATGCACAAATCATATGTTATTTCTGCAATTAATGCTAAGTGTGAACCACAAAAAAAACTACGTTTTTTCTTCATTGCAAACAATAATTAATTTCCTACAATTCAATCATTTTGGCGAGGCCCCAGTGGCGCTCTATAAATACAAATAATCATCATCAGAATCGTCTTTGAGACTTTGTAGACTGTTTGCTACTGTGTTGGTACTACAATGGCTTCCAAACACCATCGATAATATACATTTCGGCGAGGAGGGAGGGTCTCCTCTTGTTCATGTTACGTACGTTTTTAGGGGTACGACTGTAAACCCGTGTGAAAATACTCTTGGTTATCGGGCAGGGCAGGCCAATTAATACATGATTCCTCAATTGCCAATACCATTTCGTTTGTTCAACATCAACATTCTTTATCAACTTTTTTCGTTTTTCTTTTGTTTGCTTGCGCACAGCGTTGATAACAAAAATCAAATATTCAACGCGAAACTTAACAAAACTCAGATTGAAATCAAACTAGGACGCTATCGAATCGATATGGTACATTCGATTCGCATTTATAAAAATACAATTCGTTACGTTACATCTTCTCGTGACCTCACACTCATCTTTCGTTTTCATTTTAATTAAATTAATTGGACGTTTAAGTAACTAACCGTTAATAACCATTTACTGCTTCCTGCTTCCTTTCGATCTTGTCTAACACAAAACTTTCATTCTAACTAAACTTTCAATAAATACAAATACAATAGAAACAAATATATAGTTATAGTAGTTAGATGGAGAATAGTTATAGCTTCGTTCTCAATCTGCAATCCGCAGTTCATTTTTGTGTATTGCTGCAGGCTGCAGCCTGATCTCTTTATATATGATCTCTTTCTCTCTGAAGGAACTCCAACGAACTTACAACTTAAGCAAAGTATAAACTAAAGCCAAAAGTTTACGCTGCACGCTGATTTTATGTTAGAAGGGATTGGCATTACTGCTCGCTGGATTCCTGCTCGATGGACGTGTACTGAACGAGGATTTGCCGCGTGTGCCGCTCTGCGGTGGCATCGGACGACGAACATGACGCATTTCACTGTTTGGGGGAAAGGAAACGAAGAAAATTTGTTAGTTTGTGAGTAGATAGGAGATTAAAAAGGCAGTTTTTTAACAATTTAAATTTTGATTGCGCGCAGCGGGATTTTCTTGGGATTAGGTGGATTCCAGCAGCGGGTTAGCAGGCAGGCAGGCGGCAGACATGCAAAGCCTTTTGGTTGCAGTTTGCAAATGCTTACCGAATGCTGGAGTCTCAAAAATTGGGAGGGATACAAGGGAGAACATAAACTTTATGACAGTAACAGATGTGTGTAGGGGATTGATGGCTGACTTTTAGCGACCCAAATGCACCCACCGATCCATTTCCATCTCCTCCAGACGCTGGGTGAGGGCCAGCTTCTGCTGGACAGCCAGACGCAGCAGCTGATTGAGAGTCTTCTTCTCCTCCTCGGCAGCCTCCAGCTGGCGATTGAGATCATCCACCTGAGTGACATACTCCTCGCAGCGTGCAGCAAACATGGCACGCAGACCTAAGCAACAAAAAGCAATGATTAAATACGAAACGTACAGAAACCTGTTGCTGGATAATTACTGGAGAAGGTGGCTGCATCTTCTTTGAGCAAACGGAGCTCGTTACGCAGCTTGGACATGGTGTCGCTGACAATGATCTTCTCGTTCTCGTACTTGGACTTGAGATTGGTGAGAGCCACCTCGGCGGTTTGTTTGTTTGACTTGAGCACATTGCGCAGGGTTCCGATTTGTTCGCGTTTCACCGACAGCAAACTCTTGAGCTTGACTATTTGCTCCTGCAACTCTTCCATTTCCTCGGTGTTGCCCTTTTCCACAGCTGTAATAGATGATAATCCCTATAAATTATGCATCTTTGATCATATTGAGAGGCCCACTCACCATCTCCACCCTCGGAGCGAACTTTGTGTTTGTTCAAATCGATGGTATGCTCCACAGCTGTCTTCAAATGCTTGATCTGGTCGCTGACCGTGTCTACATACTTCTTGATCTCCACAGAATCAGCCAAACCCTGTAGATCCTCAACGATTTGAGGACGAGCAATGAATACATCAGACTTGAACTGTGATTGGATGGCAGTAAGCGAATCGTTTTCAAAGCTACCAAGAGAACAAAATACGAGTTTAAGCAACTGTTAAATGATATTTGTGATCCCAATCTAACCTCATATCATCGCTCTTATGATCCAGTAGGACACGCGTGGGCGTCTCCCCATTGACAGTGCAGACCAGATGATAAAGCTGAGCCAGATCATCGCTGAGGGCCACCAGAGTGCTGCGCGCCGAGCCCAGGCTCTGGCCGGCATTCTGGGAGATGTGCGTAAGGG